GTGCTCCATGGCTGTGAGGTTCTGCTCAAGCACATAGGTCCAGGCAAGTATAGATGGAGCCTTCTAAAAAGGAGAGACTGTTTTTGTAGGACACTCTGATACAGTGACGATGAAGGTGGCCTAACACCTGCTACCCAGGCTTGGGCAAGGCAGATTTCCACTGCTTCAGAACTGGGGAAGCTTTTCCTGGGAGCTCCACCACAGAGAGCTTGCAAACAGGAGGGAGAGCTTCTCTGTCCCACTTGGAGTCAGGCAATGACTGGGATCTGCTGGGAGAAGCAACTGTGTATGAATTCAACACCTGTGACTTTGTGGACGCAGAGCTGACATCTCTCTACTTATGAACCTATAGTCTCCTCATAGATCTCTGTAAGATCACTCCCACTATGCCAAAGAGGACACGGAGGCTCGCCAGGATGGTGTGGCTGTCCTATAACACACAGTTGGCAAACATCCAAGCCAGAGTCATATTTGGGTCTCTGGTTTGAACTCAGAAAGCAAATGTCTATGTTTCCCCTACCTCCTCTTGCTGTAGAGCCCCAGCTTAGCCCTGAAGAGCAATCTTTTTCTTCATGGGGACATGGGGATGTTGAGGCCTAGTGTGATGGACTTTCTTCTGCAGGGCCATGTGACAAAACTGACCACAGAGCTCTCTCTGCTCTGTCCTTGCTTGGTTGTCACTAGAGGCATTGACTAGAAGCCCCAGGAAACCACATCATTCTCTCAGTGGCAGCGGGTGGTAAAGACGTAGAGGCCCACATTTATCAGTCACTTCTATGGCCTTTCTTCAAAATCAGAGGCACACCTGCTTCAAAGAACATGCCTGACCAGAATAGGGAATCTTCCACTCTTCTTTTGGTCATGGTTTTGTATCCTGTGGACTATCTGCTAAAATTTGGCAGTGATTGGTGAATGTTGGGTTTTGTTTTCAATATTTTGGGTGGTTTGGAGACAAAGTCTCATTACATAGCCCAGACTGACTTCAAACTTGTGATCCTCTTGCCTCAGGCTCTGAAGGGCAAGTTCTGGGATGACAGGACACACATCAGCACATCTGAATAGCAGTGATTTCTTTAAAAGCAAATGTATATAGTTACATGGCCACTATTCAACCAAAACAGAGAACTCCTCAATCTCCCCGGAGCTTGCTGTGTCCTTTGCAGTCACGCTACATATTCATTTGCCTTGGAAAAGGCCGACAGTGTTTCTAGCTTTCCATCCCTCCCTTTTCTTCTCAATCATCCTTCTCTGGCTGGTACGATGCTTATTCTCCAGGAAAGCCGATAACCCCATTCCCATATGTTGCTGGGTAGAATGTCTTTTGCTGGTTTGCCTCTAATGCCCTTATTGGACAAAAGAACAGGACACAACCTCGGGTCTGCCTCTCACACTATGAAAACTGTCTATGAAATCTAAAGACTGTTTTTTTCTAAAATCACAAATAGTTGACTGGGTTGGGAGTATAGGAGAATTAAAGGTGAGGTGGAAAAGATAAAGACTCCACATTCTGCCGAGAAGATGGCAGACTCCAGGCTAATAACATTGACGCAAGACAAGATCTGAACACAACGATCAAGACCCAGGAGGATGTTGGCAGCCTGTCCTGAAATCTCCAGGTAGTCCCACCTGTGGGCTCTCAGGAGACTACAGAATATAGTTGTCCTTCTCGGACGCCATTATCCTTGTCTGCAAAGTGGGTTGGGTTGGTTAAATTATTCCTGTGGCTTGATTTCTCTTTGGGCCAAGTTTGGATTAACTAGCACTAATTTTCCCAGAGTTATGCAAGGTCTGAACTCCAGGCCAGCATTTCCAGCCTAAAGCAAACACAGCTCCAAACATCAGGCTTCCAACAAGTTCTGTCTAAAGTTGCCCTCCACCTCTTTCTAGGAAGCAATCAAGGCCTCGCTCTTCTAGGAGACTGTAATTTGTTGAAAAGCATTTGATTGTTGTATTGAAAGGTTGCACTGTATGTGTAAAAAGGTGTTTATGAGGCTTCGTACAGTATAGTTAATAACCAACCAGGACCAGAGCCCTTATAACAGAGACCCTAGCTGCGAGCATCTATACGGAGCCTTGCCGGGGCTGCGAAATGTATAATTATAGTGGCTGGTGGTCTGGAATATAAACCAGGGGCACTTGCTGCATGCCTGCAGGTCAGCCCTCTCTGTGGATAGTAGAACACGCTGCACCTTTCTCTGCCTCCTCAGAAGTAACCCACTTACGCTTTCAGTCCAGCTTCAGAACACCTACACGCTCTCAGCACCGGCCTGCAAGGTAGGCTGAGCAAGCTGCAATTTTAGATGTGTGGGGAGCAGAGAGCCAGACAGCACCAGGAACCAAGCCAGGGTTGGCATCTGTCTACTCTCTAGGGAAAGTTGGGGTCAAGGGGTCCGTTAGCTCAAGTCCCTGCCTTTTCTTGCCAAAAAACAGGGCCCATGTCTCATAAAAGGGCTCCCCATTTCTACCTTAATTCCACGCCTCACGCTGCAGGGACAGCACACAAAGCACCCGGCTATTTGACTCCTCAGAGCTTCCAATATTCCCTGGTACAGACCCTGCCTCGTGGTCTCCAGGGTTCTCTGACTTTGGCTTCGCCGCAGTCCTAACTACCTCTTATTCCCCAGGCGTGTCTCACTTCTCACTGATTTCCTTAGCTTCTTTCCACTACCAGATTCCCATGGAATAGGAACATGCGCTCTTTCCTTGGCCTGAAATTAGCCTTTCTCTCTTCCATCTTGCCACGGTGTCGGCCTGGTAAACTCCCCTCCTCCTTCAAACCCCAGCTCCAACAGTGCTTATTCAGGCAAGGCTTCTCTAGATCAACATAAACGTCAGAGTCATCACTTCCAACCGACCTCCGTTTCCTGCTTGCTTCCCGAAGCACACCTAACAATTCTCTGTTTCTCTGTGATGGAACACATGGCATATGCCTTGCTGTGGTATATTCCAGTCCTTTCAGTCATCGCTCTGCGCAGCTCATGGAAATAACCCCGTGAGAGCCTGTCATGGTGAGCATCTGCTGTGGTTCCAGAGTCATCCACCCTCCGAAAGCACCCAAGAGGACCATGGCCACTTTCAGCACCTCCCCCTGCCCTCACCATCAGCTTACCTATCAGGAACTTCCTTGTTTCTTTCATGCACACTGGCCTTGCTGGGCACGCTTAGCTTGTGCTCTGTGACCTTCAATGCCAGCAGATGGCAAGCCGATCTATTTCTCATGGTGTTTTTAATAGGCAGAAGCTTCCAGAATGAGAGAGATAGGCTGTAGATGGTTGAGGTTTGGGCCTCTCAGACTCTCCCTATCTGTTTAACATTTTATAAGCTAGAGGATTTAATACAACGTTCAGTTCGGAGAATTCTTTTCTATCCATCAACATCTCCAGTTCCTCGGCATATGGGAAGTGGGAGGCATTCTCTCCACTTACAGAGGTGATTTCACTTACGCAAAGCCTCTTGGCCCGTGGAGACTGGTACTACTCCCCACATATCATGCTTTGAGTTGAGTTTCTCACATGTTAGCACCACCCTGGAGAGAATTCTTTGTTAGAACACCCCACTTTCTTGTTATTGCAATAGGCTGATCTAAGTAGGAATGAGCCATTGTGGTTTTAATGTTTCTGGTAGATGAAAATATGCAGGCTCAACTTTCTTATTGTTTGAAATATTCGTTAATTGTAATTCTCCATGATAATTTTTTTCAAGTAGACAAATATATGTTATAAAAAAATATAAGCCCTTAGAAGTGGACCTGGGAGGCAGAGGAGTGGTTCAGCAATGGAATGCTTGCCTGGCATATGCAAGGCTCCAGCAATGCATTAATTTAATAAGAAATTTAATAAGAAAGCAAAAGACAGAAGCCAGATATCTAGCTACAGAAGAAAAGTACCTGGGTCAAAGAGTATGTAAGTTATTTTTGACTATTTTTACAAATAGTCCAATAAAGATTTCCTCTCTCAGATTGTATGATGATGCTGGCTAACCAGTGTGCCCACCATTGACTGCAATGATACCCCAGTTGAGCTGTTGTTTTCTAGACTATCACTGAGCTGGGACAGCCTTTTCTGTGCACCGGAAGAAGTTCCTCAGGTCTATGGAGAGGGTCCCTGGACTGTGACAAGCTGGGGCAGCCTTTTCAGGGAGCTCAAAGTCACTGCGGTGAAACCACAGGGGAATTGGAAGCTGAGTGCAGAGAAGAAACGGCACAGATGAGGACAGAGGGAGAGGAGAAAAGAGGCCCTCGGTGTAGCAAGCATTTGGGAGCTAAACCATAAGAAAAAAGACAAGTTCTGGAAAGTCGGTTCCTAGCCACGCTGAGTGCAGGACCTAAAGGGAGCATGGATCCTGGAACAGGAGACCTTCTTAAGATGAAGGTGGTTTGGGGTTCAAGCAGGGCGATTCTTAGTTCCTTATTTCCAAACATTGGAAAGGAACCTTGCCGTGAAGCACCTGGGCAGTGTTGATGATCTTCAAACTTCCCCAGGTTAAGATGTTGCTTCTTTCTCTTCTAGTCCCCCTTTACCCCGGTGTCTGTGGACTGTAGTCCATGCATCTGTTCAAGAGCTGCTCAAAGGGAGCAGATACAGTCAGCTTGTTTGCAGTGAACTCCGATATGTGTGGAAGAACCCTCTAGGGCCGTAGGTTCAGGGATGCTCCTGTATTCATGGCCCATCTCAACTGCTTGGGAAGTGAAGATGAGAGTCCAAGAACTACACTGAAAAAAGAATCTGTCCCTTGTGCTTGGTGCCAGAATTAGAAGTCGTGACAAGGGGGGCTGACAACTGAGCGCTTCAAACTCAGAGCCTATGTTCATCAGACATGTACAATTATGAGCAGAAATTTCTGTTCAATTGATTTCTAGTCAAAATAGAAGTTCTTTCCTGTCAGCATATGCTCTGAAAAGTAGCATTTTATTGACTATATAATTATAAACCTACTATAATTTTTATGAGAATCCTATGAAATACAATTTATCAGAAATATTATGTTTGAAGGGTACAAACCTATATTCTTCGGTGAGTACGTCTGCCTGTGAAGCTGCTTGTCAGATGAATCCCAAGTGTTGTGCTTTCCTTACTTTGGCCAACTACCTGAGGAAGAAGAAAGAATTCTTTCTCTCTGTTTGACATAGGAAATATTACAAAGTTGTTACCAGGGGGAAGATGAAGCATGCAAGAGTCAAACTTTAGGAAAGAAGTTTAGTAGAGGTGCCCTGGAACAAGTCAATAAAATGGTATTTTATCTTCCTAGGTCTTATCGTGACATTTTCTTAATTCTTCATCTTTTTGAAATGGGAATTTGGGCACAATTTTTCATCCCAAATAAACATTACTTTATGCCTAACCCCACTCCTTGGCATCATCTTGTTTAGCGCGCTCTGAAATAAAATATGCAGCAGGCCCCATCACCGGCAAGGGGCTGGAGGTTGGGCGTGGCCCCAAGAATCTTAGTGTCCCCACTAAGGGCTGCAAAGGACAGTTTATGTCACCTTTGGTTTATACTCATTGTGTCCTTGACAGCCTTCGGTGGCTGGTGCTAAGTGGCACTCAGCAAACCTACTGCTTGAGATTAATGACGATTCTAGAGCAGTGGCTCTCCACCTTCCTACACTGTGACCCTTTAATCCAGTTCCTCATGTTGTGCTGACCCCAACCATAAAATTATTTTCGTCCGTACTTCATAACTGTCATTTTGCTACTGTTATGAATTGTAATGTAAATATGTAATGTGCAGGATATCTGATATGTGACCCCTGTGAAAGGGTTGTTTGACCCCCAAGAGGTCATGATCCTCAGACTGAGAACCATGGCTCTAGTTCCACCATTCACTGCTATCTTGCTTTAGGTTCATACAAGAGATTAGATTATATACTTTTGCATAAAACTATTCTCAGCCTAACACACCTCTGATAGTAAACTAGGTCAGGAGGCTCTGGCCCCACCAGGAGACTTGCATGCTCATCCTTGAAGGAAGAAAGGCAAGAGGTTGATTCTAGACCCTGCTGCAGCCTTGGTGTCTCTTTTAGCCTGACGGCAGGAACACTTCCTGGGTTTTGCATTCAGTCTCGAATCCAGCCTGGCAACTTCATTGCTGCTCCAGCAGACATATGGTTAGGGATAAAACGGACCAGTCAAAGTGAGGAACAAGAAAAACAGCCTTGCAGTGCAACCACTTAGACAAAGTCAAATATAGATTTAACAACTAATTACAGGAGAAAGCTGCAAAGTGCGTTATAAAATCAAGTGTTTGCACAGAAACATTTTTACTAGAAAGCAAAGTGGTAGCTCATTTGCATGTTCAGTATTGTTAGCATACAAAGGAGCTGAACTGCTAAAATTAAGATAGTGAGTTGTTTGAAAACCTCATTTTAAAATAGAATAAATCACGCTACAGACAGATGTTTAAGAGTGCGCCTGATGTGGAAGGAGCTGGCCTCCAGTGCCAGGCACAGGGCTCAGGGGTGGAGCCCTTGTCCTCCAAGGCCAACCAGAATCTTTTCTGGGCCTCCATGGTCAGACACGTGCGAAACTCACTGCGTGGTTTCTGCAGAAAGTTTCGTGGTCTGGAGTTCGTAGCCCAGCTCAGTCAGGGAAGGTTGAGATCCAGAGTACCACAGCCACGTGAGTGCCGTCTTCTACCTGCAGTGGGAAGAGGCACTTGAGGCTACTGGGTCAAAGAGTCTCAGGAAGCACCTACTCCAGGGCCTGAACCGGCACTTGCCCTGAAAGCCAACAGCCACCCTGACCTTGCATAGAGCCTTTATTCTCAAAGGTAGTGTCAGCTTTAACTCTGACTCTCTTTGTGACTGAAAGTGTGGTTGTCCTTATCACAGAGCGAGATATGAAGGATATGGGAAGGTCCGAAATATCCCCAGCATTCGATCAGGCACTCAGCAGGGTGGCTCTGGGAAGCCACACCTGATTTCAGAGATTATCAATCAGCAGAAAAAATGCAATCTCCTCACCCCGTCTCCACTCGGATCTTATTCTCTTCTACAGCTCTCTCTTAGTTCTAGACTATCCAACGCCAATGTGGCCCCATTTCTCCATCCTTTCTCCCTTTTCTCTGTGACCTACCACTTTTCTTTTCCATCTCCCAAGGAGCACAGGACACCCTAGTTTAGGGGCTCTCTGCAACTCCACCACCTAGGAGGCGAGGCTGTGCTATCTTATCTGAAGGCTTGACTTTACCCAAGCCCTTTCAGTCTCCCATTAAACAAAACTAAGATCTTGCTTACTGCAACATTTTCCTTTATTTTCCCTTTTCTCTTTCTAGGTATGGCTCCCTCCTCTGCTTCTTTGCTAGTAAGCGAATACTAATCTCTAACCCCACTGTGGTTCCTTTCTTTGCTCCATTCATACAGTAATAATGCGTCATTACCCAGCGTGGTTAATGTATCTTTATGCTTCAAAACAATTGCTTCTTAAGGAGTGACTGCTTTGTAGGCTACCAACACTCCATTTTCATGGTGGGTCCACTGATGGACAGTGGCTGTAGCTACAATTCTAAACTTACTGTGGAGCTCTTGGGGGTTGAGCCTCTTTTATAAGTTTATTAAAATGAATTTATAATTAGAAAATGGTTAGTGCAGAAATGCTTTCCATGGGTTGATGATTCTCCTTCTATAAGCCATGGATTATTAAGGGACAATCCCATAGCCAGGTGTGGTGGTTATTCTTTGTTATCAACTTGACCACATCCGGAATGAGCTACAATCCAGAAATGGAGAGCACACTTATGAGGGTTTTTTTGTTGTTTGTTGTTTTGTTTTGTTTTGGTTTGGTTTGAAGTGGGTGAGTTCACTTCTAGTCCTGGCATTTGAGGTAGAACCTAGAGGAACCTAGAAAACCAGTCACTGGGAATGTGTGTGAGGGAGTTTCCGTGCTGGATCAACCTAGAAGAGAAAGCTCACTCTTAGTGTGGTCAGCTTCTGTCCCATGAGCTGGGATCCTGGATAAAAAGGAGAAGCTTACTGAGCTAAGGCATTGATTCCTCTCTGTTCCCTGGTTACAGAGGTAATGTAACCACTTGCCTCAAGCTCCCAATGCCAAAACTTCCCATGATGATGGCCTGTATTATACCCTCTGTGAGCCAAAATAAGCTCTCCCTTTTTAAATGGATTAGATTAGTTTTGTAGCCCACTGATTTTAACTAGGGCCAACTCTGTGGTCATGGATTTGGAACTACCCACTGGATTCTGGTGGGCTTACCATTTATCACACAGCTGGACAACTACCCTTCCTCCAGAATCCATCAGTAGCCAATAGTTCATCTCATAGGTCTCGTGGGTCCTTCTCTGATTTTTGATTGGCTGGTTACAGATTCTGTTTTATGCAGGCTCAGTTTCTGGCAACTGTAGCTTCTGTACAATTATGGTTGCAATGGTTGTGCTGTGCCCTGATATTAACATTTTGCAGCCCCTCTCCCTATCCTCTAATTTTTACTTTCTCCTTGCCCTGCCGTGTCATCCTCTGAGGCTCAGAAGGTTGATATAAATGTCCTGTTTAGGGTTGAACAATTAACCATTGCTTATTCTAAATATACTGAGCAGCCATAAGTTTTATTTCTCAGCCACTTAATACCAAGAAAGAAGCTTTTCTGATTCAGGAACAAAGTAGCATTTCTCTATGGATATGCATCTAAATAAAAGAATGTATTTGATGCTGTGTCGATTTAGCTAAACCAACTGCTGTGTGTTATCCCATGTGTCCTAGACCTACACAGCTATATGATTTTGATGGGTTTTAAAGTACCAGGCATATATTGTCTCCTGTGGCATTGGTCTCCAATCCAATCCAAGTGAGATTAATTATCCCCAAGACAGTTGTGCCATTATTGCCCCAGTGGTTCACAGCTGGGCAAGATCAACAACGCCTTAGTTTCTACAGAAGACTGTGCAGCACCTTCTGATACTATGAAAGCGTTCAGCTTTTGCACCAAAGGTACATACTATCATCAGTAGCACAGTCCTATCTAGTTCTGGTTACCTTCCTTCTGTCAGGCGTCTTGTTGTAGCAATGAGAAATGAGAGTGGGAATGGAGAAGTGCCAGGGTGTAAAGATCTAAAATAACAAATGGTTGGGAGTGATAAGTTGAAAGCTATTGGCTAAAACAGCAAGTCACACTTAATAATGTTTCTATTTTTAAAATACAGTGCTGTATCAGTTTATCAACTAAATCATGATTTTCTTATCCTCACAATTCAACTTTTAGACTTACATAGATTGAAAAATGAAGTGTTTGGTACACCCATATTTTCTCCATTGTACACTATAAAAATGAGATGGTTGGAATGAAATACTATTTATGCAATATTTACTAGATAGTTCCTACTACGTAGTAAGTTCTCACTGGCAGTTTAATGAAGGAGTCTGTCCTCTCTGGCCATGGCCAGTTCTTTGCTACAGACCACTCTACAGTTCAGTTTATGTCACATGGTGGTTGGCTTCAATATATCAAGCAAGAAAGTCTTAATTAGGGTGGGGGAAAGAATATAAAGAAAATGGGGGGGATAACACAAAGAAAGGGGGTAAAAAGGCTACTATCTTAAAATGCAATTTTAAAAAACAATTGGAGGGATAGTAGAAAGCATGCAAAATGCAAAAAGAGAGGATAAAGAATTAAGTGCTTTATTAGTCATGGTTCTCTATAGGAACAGAAGCGACAGAATGATAGAATAAAATACACATGCATACATGTATGTATACATACATCTGGCTTATGAGACTGCTTCAAATTTTTGATCTAAGTAATCCTACATGTCTATCTCACACTAGAAAGGCAGATGTGGTACTTTGAATGTAATTAATTGGCTCCCGTAATCCCATAAAAAATGGCACTATTAGGTGGTGTGGTTTTGTTGGAGTGGATATGACTTTATTGGAGAAAGTGTCTCACTGAAGGGGTGGGATTTGAAATTTCCTATGCTCAGAATACTGTCCAGTGGCCCAGTCAACTTCTTTTTGCTTGCAAGATGTAGGACTCTCAGCTTTTCCAGCAACATGCCATGTTGCCTATCATGAGATAATGGATTGAACCCCTGAAACTGTAAGTGAACTACCCCAATTAAATGTTTTCTTCATAAGAGTTGTCATGGTCATAGTGTCTCTTCACAGCAACAGAAACCCTAAGACAGCAGATAATCTGGTAGTTGTTCAGTGCACAAGACTGGATATCTCAAGAATCCAAACCTGACAATTAAAGCCTGAGGGTTTCGGGAGAACTTCTGTTCTGTAGTCTGTGTTGGAAACCTGAAGGAGATGCTTCTAATGCCAGAGAAGGAATGATGCAACAACAGAATAGATGCACTTACCCCAGGAGTGAAAGGAGCAGGCAAAAGTCACTTTCCTTTCTCTGTGTCTTTTGATCTGGACTGCTACCAGCATGTGCTGCCCACAGTTACAGTGATTCTTCCCACTTCAAATCATCTGATCAAGAAAGTACCTCACAGGAGTGTCTGTGTTCTAGTCGGTTCCAGATCTGGTCAAATTGACAACTTAGATTAGCCTTCACAATTAGGATTGGGAGCTGGGGTATGGAGAAGGAGAGGAGGTAGTAGGTTGATGTGGTAGTTTGAATAGGTATCGTCACACTATAGATTCATGTGTTTGAATGCCTGGCTCATAGAAATTGGCATTACTAGGAGGTATATCCTTGTTGGAAGAAGTGTGTCACTGTGAAGGCTGGCTTTGAGGTCTCATATATGCTCAAGCCATGCCCACTGATACAGTTTACTTCCTGTTGCCTGTAGATCAACTCTCAGCTCCTTCTCCAGCACCATGTCTGTCTGCATGCCACCATGCTTCTCACCATGATGATAATGGACTAAATTGCTGAAACTGTAAGTCAGCCCCAATTAAATGTTTTCCTTTATGAGAGTTACTGTGGTCATGGTGTCTCCTCACAGCAATAGAAACCCTAAGACAGAAGTTGGTAGCAGGGACAAGGGTATTTCTCTGATAGATCTGACCATGCTTTTGTTTGGAGGAATGTGCATTTGGCAAGTTTGAATTAGAAAAGCAGTTGGATGCTTAAGTGGGGCTTAATGGGCCTCACTAGTAGAAGCATGGAAGACAGTGGTACTGAGGGTGATTTGAATGGTGGGGGCCTGGCTCAAGAGGCTTCAGAGGAGGAGAATTTTAGTATGGTACCTAGAGATCATTCTTGTGATATTTTGGTGAAGAATGTGTCTGCTTTTAGCCTTTGTCCAAAGAGTCTGCCTGAGGCTAAAGTAAGAGATTTGGATTAATTGTAATGGTTTAAAAAAAACTCAAAACAGTCTAGCATAGCTTAATGTTGTATGGTTATTAGCACTCCCTCTTATGAAGATGTGTTATGAAAGGAACAAGCTGAGAAAGTAAAATTACAAAAGTTACAATTTGAGGAGAAAGGGGACACCAGGAAGTGGAATGGAGCTAAGTCCTGTGTTCAAGGAGATGAACAGATTTAGAAATAGAATAGGGGAGTGGTGACCTCAGAGCAAGACCCCACCCAGCTAAGTTTCCAAATTGTGAAAAAGAATTAAAGAACAGCTTAGGTCAAGGCTCTGTGGTACACATCTATAATCATAGCCCTCTGGAGACAGAGGCAAGCAGATCTCTAAGGTCGAGTCCAGCCTGGCCTACATAGTGAGTTCCAG